TAAAGACATATGCGGAGAGCAGCAGCTGGCATTCTGACACGCCCACACCGTGCAGGCACGGTGGCGGATGTGTTTTCTTGCAAGGGGTGTTGTTCTGCAGTGTGGCAAGGATGCAATTACGATGGTAGCTTCTCCAACCGCGGTGGGATGCAGACGCCTAGTAAATGATGCTGGCAAGTTATGCCACGGCCGTGAAGACGATGCACCCAGGTCGCTCTCGGCACGATGTATATCCCATTCCCAGTTGTTCTCGTTGGCACGCCTTTTGTGGCATGCAGGCAGATCTCGTGCCGTCGTGTTTCGCTGTTGGTGCTGCAGCCACGTGCGCCTGCCGTTCGGGGTGGCCTTTTGCGCCTCTCCGCGCACGGCCGATTCATGGCGGTTTGCCACGGCCTTGCTGCAGGGACCTTGGCGCGCGAAGGATGAGCGTCGCATTGGCTGTGGTTTTCTCGAGGGCCGAGGCCCGATGACGCCACCCATGCTAGTGACATAATGTATGATAAGCTGACTCGCGCTGGCTCTCGGCGACCGGAAGGCTGCCACTGCAGCTGTCATATGCCGACAGCATGGGCATGTTCTATGTGTCTGACTGCAGTGGGTGTTAGATGCCGACAGCATGATGATATATTTCACGGCGAGTTGTTGTTGTTCTATGTGTCTGCTTGCATTGGGTGTTGTTCGTGTGCGCATTGTGGCAAGGATGCAATCACGATGGTAGCTTCTCCAATCGCGGTGGGATGCCGACAACTAGTGAATGTTGTAGAGCGTTGTTGCGGCCATGAGAAAGACGCGCCCAGGCCGTTTCAGCACGATGTACACTCCAACTCCCAGGGTTACCGTCGGCACGTTTTTTCGTGGAATTCTGATCTCGTGCCGTCGTGTTTCACTTGTGGCGCTGCAGCCACATGTACCTGCCGTTCCGTGCCTGTCCGCGCACAGCGGAGAGCTGGCAGTTTGCCACGACCTTGTTGCAGGTATCTAGGCGCGAAGGATGAGTATCGCTTTGGCTGTGGTTTTCTCGAGTGCCGAGGCCCGATGACGCCACTCATGCTAGCAACGGAAAGTATGTCAAGCTGACTCGCGCTGATCCTCGGCAGGTTGGGAGAAGGAGGCGAATAGGATGCACGGCCAGTTTCTTTTGCTCTATTGCTTGATTTGCAGTGGGTATTGTTCGTCTGTGCATGGTGGCAAGGATGCAATCACGATGGTAGCTTCTCCAACCGTGGTGGGATGCAGACGCCTAGTAAATGATGCTGAGCACTCCTCCACGGCCGTGAAGACGACGCACCAAGCCCTCTCTCGGCACCATTGACATCCTCTTTGCCATGGGTCCTCGTTGGCAAGCACCTTTTGTGGACTGCAATCAGATCTCGTGCCGTCTTCTTTCACTTGTGGTGCTGCAGCTACGTGCGCCTGCCGTTCGTGGTGGCCTTTTGCGCCTCTCCGCGCACGGCCGAGAGATGGCGGTTTGCCGCGGCCTTGCCGCAGGGACCTTGGCGCGCGAAGGATGAGCGTCGCATTGGCTGTGGTTTTCTCGAGGGCTGGGGCCCGATGACGCCACCCATGCTAGTGACATAATGTATGTTGAGCTGACTCGCGCTGGCTCTCTGCAGGTTGCCACTGCAGCTGTCAAGTGCTAGTGACATATTGTATGTTGAGCTGGCTCGCTGTGGCTCCCTGCGCCTGGACGTCTTCCACTGCATCTGTCAGATGCCGACAGTCTGAGATTGTTATATGTGGTTGTTTGCACTAGGTGTTGTGCGTGTGCGCATGGTGTCAAATCTGCAATCACGATGTTAGTTTCTCCAACCGCGGTGGGATGCAGAAGACTAGAACATGTTGCTGAGCACACTGACGCGGCCAGGCGAAAGACGAGCCCAGGCCGCTTCAGCACGATGTACATCCCAACTCCTGGGGTTGCCGTTGGCACGCTCTTTTAGCGACGTCGTGTTTCATGTTCTGGTGCTGCTGCCAAATTGTACCTGCCGTTCGGGGTGGCGTTTCGCGCCTCTCCGCGCACAGCCGAGGGATGGCGGCTTGTCACGACCTTGCTGCAGGGACCTTGGCGCGAATGATGAGTGTCGCATTGGTTGTTGTGTTCTAAATGGCCGACGCCCGATGACGTCACCCATGCTATTGACGGGAGTGACATTCAGCTGTTTTGTGTTGGTTCTCTGCAGGTTGCATCTACAGTTGTCAAACGTTGGCAGTATTTGGAGAAGGAGGCGAATAGGATGCACGGCCAGGTTCATTTGCTCTATTGCTTCGTTTGCATTGAGTGTTGTTCGTCTGTGCATGGTGGCAGGGATGCAATCACGATGGTAGCTTCTCCAACCGTGGTGGGATGCCGACGCCTAGTAAATGATGCTGAGCACTCCTCCACGGCCGTGAAGACGACGCACCCAGGTCGCTTTAGGCACCATTGACATCCTCTTTGCCAGGTGCCATCCTTGGCACGCACCTTTTGTGGAATGCAGTCAGATCTCGTGCCGTCTTGTTT